CTACCTTGAAGTGTAAACTTGTTTAATAAACCATATCTTTCATTTTCGATTTTTAATTCACGTAGTCCGGGAACTTTCCGGACAAACTGTGTATGATAGCCAATAGGAGCAGCAAACACGGTTGTATGTGTGGTGAAATCCATAAGTTTTTATTGATGAAATTGTACAAACGTTTTGACCGGGGATTCGGTCCTTATCAATGCAAATCTAATAATATAACATAATTAAAAAGTGAACATGAAATTTTTAATACAATAAGTTGATAGAGTTAAATTATTTATATATGTTCGAATTGTTCAATTTACTGTTTAAAAAACAGTCACGCACACATGTTCGAAAAATAAAATAAAATTATTATATATATTTAAATAATATTATTATTTTATATTATTATATTATATTATTATAATATTATTATATATTTAATTTGTCTTATTAGTAGATTTGCAGTGATAAGGACCAAATCCCTGGTCGAAACTTTTGTACAATTTCATTAATAAAAACTTATGGATTTCAACACACATACAACCGTGTTTGCTACTCCTATTGGCCTTCACATCTTACATTTTGAATTTATCTTGGATATTTAGAGCCTGGTTACTTTTTTGATTATAAAAAAATAAAAAGTATAAAATTATTATATATGTATCAATAGTTAGACTTTGCCTTTTGTGAAAAGTCGAAATATAAAAAATAATTAAAGCAAAAAAACTTGGCGTGTCTGCACCAAAACTATAGCAGACATGTTTTATCTGTGCACGTGCGAGCTATTTTCAATTTATTTTATGTCACATATGTAACTATAAAAAACCAATCCAAAAAAACTAAACCAATCAGCATTGCACTAAAAGTAAAATTCTTACATTAAGCAAATGCAAACGTGATAAGATTTTCACTTTTCCTCGTCTGGTTTAGAGAGAACAATTTATTATTAGTTTTAACTGCATGAACCTCAATATCTTAATTCGTTTTTAGTTGTTTTGTTCTTAGTTGTTTTTGTTTGTACGTTATCCATGTTGCTTTATTAATAACAGGTCATGACAACGAACAGCAAAAGCTGTATGCTACTCCGAAGAAACGGAGATTTGCAGAGCCTCGGTACATATCCGAAATTACAACTTCCGATTTTTCATCACCTAAGAGAGCACAAAGAGTTATTAATATGGTGAACAAAACCTATAAAGAGAAATGTAATTTGATCCATAATCTGCAGAAAAAAAATCGAGCGCTGTGTAAACGCATTACTACTTTAGAGGAATTGGTAACGCATTTGCGTAAAAAAGCATTAATGTCAGAAGAAGGTGCAAACACTTTAATGGTACAGTATCAAAATATTATTAAAATATTATTCTATCAAAATATTATTAAATGGTTGCATTTATTTGGATTTATTTTATGATTAGCCACAGAGACAAGCTACATCGTGCTAGAATAATTAAATAAAATAGAATAAACAGACTCTGATTATTTTATATTAGTATTTCATGCACAAAATCTTAAAAGGATTGTTTATAATGATGTTAATGTAATTGAAATTATAAATATAAATATTGTGATAATAAAAAATATTATAAATAAATATTATAAATATTAGAGTTAAATTAATCCTATTGTTTTAGCATGTTGCTCATTGACATTTACTACATTCCACTGTAACACATTTTGTCATCTCTAAAAATAAAATAACAGGTGAGATTTTAAAAAGACTTGACGCTCGTGAAATTGTTAACAGGAATCAAATAAGGCTGATACGAGCCATTCGCAGGATGTTTGTGCGGAAACTATGCGTGTACAAATATATATATATATAAATGTAACGAATTTTTACTTGTAAATTTTTTACAAGTATTTTTTGAATTGAAATCTCAATTTTTAAATTCATACGGGATGCTAGATTTGCATCTCACATATGGAAAACCCGGGATACCCCCCTAACTAATTTTAAAATATTGCGAAAAAAACTCCTCGGCCAGGAGTCGAACCTGGAATCTCCGGCTTTCCGTGCCATCGCCTTCCCTGTTAGGCCTAACAGGGAATGGCTCGTATCAGCCTTATTTGATTCCTGTTAACAATTTCACGAGCGTCCAGTCTTAGGCCTAACAGGGAAGGCGATGGCACGGAAAGCCGGAGATTCTAGGTTCGACTCCTGGCCGAGGAGTTTTTTTCGCAATATTTTAAAATTAGTTAGGGGGGTATCCCGGGTTTTCCATATGTGAGATGCAAATCTAGCATCCCGTATGAATTTAAGAATTGAGATTTCAATTCAAAAAATACTTGTAAAAAATTTACAAGTAAAAATTCGTTACATTTATATATATATATATTTGTACACGCATAGTTTCCGCACAAACATCCTGCGGATGGCTCGTATCGGCCTTATTTGATTCAGGTGAGATTTTATTTTTAAGTTTAAAAACATTTTTCCTAGATTTTACTATTACATTTTTTTCTAATTAATTCCAGGTAGAAAAATTTAAAAAAGAGTTATATTCATTGATTAGTTTAAAAAAAAGTGTATTAAAATATTATTTATATGTATAAAAAGACTATAAGCTGCGACATCAGTGCAATCTTTATTTTATCTTTTTCTTATAATTCACATTCAATTTGATCTGATCTATTATGTACGTCCTTTTATGTATTTACTTCTGCTGAGTCGTTTTTTTTTCTGAAAAAGAAGATTAGTGATAAAAAAAAATACTTATTTTCATGAAAATGTGAAACAATATGTATGTCAAAATATGCAAATAAACATTCAAGCACGCTTGGGCATTTTTCTTTCTTGCGTTATTTCTGTCTCACTTTCCAATGCTTTGTCTCGCTCGCACTCACTTGGTAGATGCGTCTGTGCATAATGACGCTTGACTATCTATGCCCATATTTGGACTTCGTGCGTCTCCCTTTCTCGGGCCTCGTGCCTCTCATTGCGAAGATACGCGAAGAGCCACGGCTGCTTTTAACTAAGCTTCAGCTTCTCTTACGCAAATGTACCGTTTATTATATAAGTCTATGCTCTACCCCCACACATACGTTTACATCAAGTAAATTCCACTTCCCGTTCGCAACTCTCATGGAATCATTTTATCCTTATTTTTCATCGAAAAGTAACCAAAGACAGATAACGCTCACGAGCGTTGCGAACGTGAAGTGGAACTTACCCATCGTGGTGTGTATTCATTATTTCACAGAAAGAACTGCTCTTTAGTTACCTAAAATTTCTCAAAGAGTCGAGAACGCACAGATACGATCACGAGATACGCTTTCGCTCTTGTTTGATTACCAGTTTGCACTTTTTTTTGTAAGATTTATACTTCAATGCATTGAATATCATTATACAGAAGATGGTAAGTCATTAAGCTATTTTTTGTAAAATAAAAATTGCTTCTTATATTTTAAAAAATACTATAAATTTTGTATTTAACCAAACACAAAACAGAACATAGAAAATGAAATAACATAGACCTATTATCTCAACAAAGAATATTATACTTTTTTTGATTAAGTGGTTGAAAAAGCTTAAAGGTAAATGTAATAGATAAAATACGAGAAATAGAGAGAAAGAAAGAAAGAACTTCAAAGATGCAATCTACAGGTGGTAGTAGGTAAAAGAAAAATTTGTGTTTATAAATTAACGAAATACACTTTTTGATCAATTTTATTTTTGCAATCATCATCAGCCAATTCTATAATGTGTAAAGTAGAAAATATATAAGTTTACTTTGTCTAAATCTACAAACGTAGATTAAAAGAAACATGAGAAAAATACGCATATAAATATATTAAGACTATTAAAACATAAACAAAATGAAGCAAAGTCAACTTTACAAAGTAAAGATTGAAATAATCACAAAAACTATGATAACATTTATAGAAATGTGTAACGTACATTACATTTTCAAAAGACACTGATTACATGTCAACAGTCATGTCAAGGAAAGTCACACAAACAACATAAATATGAGTGTGCGAAAACAAACGAATGAAATCTTTCTTTCACCAACCATCACCAGTGGACTATTGACTTCGAAATCTTTACTTTATCTATATAGTTAATGTAAATTAAAACTAAGTATATAGTTAAACAATTTTGAATATATTTAGCATATAGTAAGTTGTATATAGTAAGTACTTATTAGCATATAATAATTGGTATACAGGGTGTCCCAGAATTGCCGTACAATCTCTCGTACGCAGGTAGAAGAAATAAAACTGAGTCGAAAAGTCCTGAACCATTTTTTTCTATTATTTATAATAGAGGAGTAAATTATTGAGTAAATCAGGCCAATCAGCGCCGACCTTTAGCCAGGGGCACGTCAGTGAGCCACGCGCCTGGTGTGTGTGAGCACTCCGCGCAGTTGACTGACGTGCGCCTGGCTAAAGGTCGGCGCTGATTGGCCTGATTTACTCAATAATTACTCCTTTATTATAAATAATTAAAAACATGGTTCAAGATTTTTCGACTCAGTTTTATTCCTTCTATCTGCCTACGAGAGATTGTACGGCAATGTGTTGTAATATTCAACTTATCTCATTTAAAATGCATTACAAACAAATTAAACAGTTTCCTTAAAATTGAGTTTAGTAGGTGAATATCAAATTTGTCGAACACACAATCTGCACTCATGTGCTTTTAATTATGCATGTCGGATAAAACATACAACAATAACAAATAATGTCGTGATAGAAATAAAGACGCTGTAAACTATTTTTTGAGAAACACATACCTTTATGCTTAATATTTTATGAACTTCAAAAATTATTAGTAAAAACTATTCGCAAAAAAAAAGATACATACTTGCATACAATCATATTTGACATTTATGTATTTAAAACAGCAATCAGTAATTCTTTTTTATATAATACTTTTTGTGTTATAATTGTAATTTTAATAACATGAGTTTTTCTTGTTCAAAATTATACGATACTTGTACCAAATTATTTTATAGATACTAACTACACAGATGCTTACAGTTCTTGGAACTATATGTCTCTTATGTGTCAATGGAATTACTTCTTCTGCTGATGAAAATTTTTCTCCGCACTGCGTAGAACCGAGGGAATATATTATGAATATTTCTGCGGACATACAAAAAAATTCTCTGATTGTTGATTCTCTTGTTACATTGAACGTTCACTGTCCACTGCAAAACATAAAAGTTTATTTCGGACGTTACTGTGAACAACCGAAAATTAACATCATGACTAATTCTTTTAATTTTCCATCTTTATTTTGGGAAACAAAAGTTTTGCCATTATTTCCAGACGATCGATTCAAAACTTTGAACATCAACTTCAATTATAATACCAAACACTTTAGAATACAACAACCAATAGTAAATAAAAGTAGATTGTGGATATCTGCAAAATATAATTGCAGTTTAAATAAAGTTATGAGAATTTATCCATTTATAGAGAAACCTAAAAAACAAATAAAAAAGTAAGTGCATTAAATACTAATGCAGAAATTATTTCTTCTTTTGTATTATTGCAATAGGAATTATAAAGTTTTTAAGAACCAAATTACTAAAAACAACAACGTTTTACATTCTATAGATATTTGATATTACCGCGTATTCCCGCTGAATGGATATTCCTATGTTGGGAAAATCTCGCAACTAAGGCTGCATTTACTATTCGAATCAAGCATACCAGTAGTGAAACAGCGCTTTCAAATATACGTGATAAACTAGTAGAAAAATCTCAAGGTTATACATATACTTTATTCCATACACCTTTAATATCCACTCGTGCCGTAGCAACAGTAGTCGTACCTTCTGAATGTACCAACTTTACTCTCAAATCAGATACACTTATCATACACAGCAAATTACAAGTGAAAAACGACATTTCATACGCACGACGTCTTATACGTCACATTACGTTTTTTAGTAGACTCAAGAGAAGGGATGTTACCCCAATCTCACACGTGCAGTATATAGCACTTTCAACAAACTACAGCTACGAAACTATAGTAGCTACTGGACTTGTCCTTTTCAGGTAAGATATATTACTCAAAAAATTAGCTTACAACAAATATATCCACATGCTGTGAACGACAGAAGTGCATTAAAGACACTACTATTTTTAGAGACGCTGATATTGCATACAATAAAAAAATTGATTCGTTTAGAAGAAAAATAGAAGTAACATGTTTGGTTGCACGCAGTGTGATACAAGAAGCATTCAGTAATTGGTTAATTACACTTAAACAGTTTGATTCTTGGTTTATCGACGGATTTTTGACATTTTACGGAGTTTATCTAGTCGATCAGGTAATACTTGCATTTGTAAATCTGTAGATTTTACACCCCAAAAAAAACTGAAAAATCATGTAATCACATGTAGGATTATATGTAAATTGGATGTAATTTTGTATGATCGTATAATCTTTTATCTAAGTCAAATATGATTTTATGCGATCGCATAAAATCATATTTGACTTATGTAAAATCATATTTAACTTATATAAAAGTTCACACGATCATACAAGATTGTATCCAATTCACATATAATCCTATATGATCACATAATTTTCACATAGATATTTAATGCAAACCGAGAGAGAAGAATAATAGTATGTATTATGTAGTAATTTCAGACATTTTGGTAAAATATGTTATTGTCACATTGCTTTTTTAATGTTTATATTATACACAAACCTTCTTGACTATACTGGAAGGATTTCTATACTTGATACCAAAAATTTGGCACTACACCTTTGTATTACTAAGTTTACCTAAAAAGAAATAACGAAGCGAAAATATACATATGCGTAATCATGAAAACTTTTGGTAGATTTACAGTGAGACTTTACTGATGTCGATTGTGGTTCAGACACGACGAATGGTTTTTGAATATACACAAGCTTTTATTGAATATGATTTACCACTACAAGAAAATCGATTTTTTCACAACAAAACTTTTAGTAAAATGTGGAGAGAAAAAAGTAAGGAAAAACGATATTTACAACTTTTAATTGTGTGCTTAAAAATTTGCGTAACAATATAAAACCTACGTTTATATATCTCATAGATATACGAAGAATAAGAATACCCATTATAATGTTTGCGAATACATCATCAAATTATAAATTAGAGTCATCCAGTTTTCATTGTATGCATTTATCAACAATTATTTACATAGGTTTTTGATCATAATTGAATAACGTTCACACATTCCGAATTATGTTTTAGCATTCACTATTTTCTATATGATTAATAGCTTATTCCGTAATCAAGATGTACTATACAACTTTATTTTTGATAACGCGATAAAGTTATATAACACGTAAGTATTATACCTTTATATAAAGCAATGATTAAAGAGAGAAAGTGTGGGTTTAAGCATGATTTTATAAGTAAGGTATACAAATCTTCAAATATTTATTACGTTTAATACAATTAAAACCGATATAGTTTCTGTTTTGCTATCTGTTGTCACTTATAGTAGTACATCCAGTGAGACATATAATCTTCAGTCTATTCTCGAGAATGTATGGAGCGATTTAATGTTTGTGCCGGCCATAATTGAAAACATCCGATTAAAGAATGAAGATATAAAAAATGTGATAACTACATGGATAGAACAAACTGGCTATCCCCTGGTACAAGTAAACCGGGACAATGATACACAATCTCTAGAAATTATAGTTCAAGATTGTGTTGCAGTTAAACAAAAGAATCTGTGTGCACATAAATGGTGGATACCTGTAACCTATGTAACAATATCAAAGAATGTGTCTACTTCGAAGCATTATAAATATATAGAACCAAACGGAATAAGTATCTTTGTTCCGTATATTAAGGAAGATGATTTTATCATAATCACAGCGCACAATGGTAATACAATAAAAAAAACTTTGTTATATTCTATGTATTCTGTAAATAGTATATTTAATGTTTACACTAATTTTTTTACTTTACTTAATTTTTTCTATTGTTTTTGTTTTCGATGTTTTTTGTTTATTTTATAAATATTTATGTATAAACAAATTGGTGTAGGATATCGCGTCAACTATGATCGTAAATCTTGGGAAAATATTGCCCTCTTTTTGAAAAGTGAAAAGTCTAAGACTTCGGAAGCGTATAAATTATCTGACGTCTCTTTAGCACAAATTCTCGACGATGCTTTTTATTTTTTAATACAAAATACACAGTATAACGTATATGCTGGAAAAAGGAATAACATAGACATTTTTTTCAATCTTGCAAGCAATATAGTTTACATACGAAAGACGTACATAACTTGGTATCCTGTACTTACTGCTCTTCAGTATATATCAAAGATTTTTCCGTATCCAGAAAGTGCAACTATTAAGGTAAATATTACTACAGTGCACTAAAAAAGAACAAAAGTGAATAATCTAAAAGACCAACTAAATAAAAAATAATCTCGTTGAGATATATAGTTTTATAATATACACTGTGTGTGTGTGTGTGTACGGTACGTTTCTTTCTGCAGTTGCCTTTCGTCATCTGACAACAGAAAAAACACTATTAAGTAACTTACAAAATACATAATTAATATGCAGTGATTTTGAAATAAACATCTTTTGAGTACACTTACAAGTTACGGAATTATCAAAATACATTAATACACTTTGCACTTTTTTTACAGAGTAAAGTCCTAGACATATTGAATAGTTTTCTGGAAGATATATCACATAAAAATGTTTCCGAGAATACTGTCAGTAATCAAGTATATCACGAAGTTTTAAGATGGACATGCATTCTTGGTGGCTTAAAGTGCAAAGAACATGTCAATGCTATATTACAGTGGCATTTAGAAAATCCTGTACATCACAGGTACGTTTTTATATTTCTCTCAAAGTGACGTCACTATAACGTTACTCTGCTTTTTATACATCGCACATAGTATTATAGAACTGTAAATTGAATGTTGATATTATAATATTGTAATGACAATGGACATTCGCGAGTGACTTATTCTTTAAAGAGAATTCCATAAATGTATAGTAAATACATATTAGAAAATACTTTTATTTGTAAATTATAAGTATAAATTTATATAAAGCTTTAAATGAATATGACGTCAAAACACACCTCGCTTCTACGGTTATAATAACCATAATTTAAAATATGATATGAGTAGCAATACATCATTACGATATAAGAAGACAAAACTAAAATCATTTGAGTGATACGTGTGTAAGTAGAATTATATATGTTTGTTAATATTTCCAGACTTTTGCCAAGTTGGCAGAAATGGATATACTGCCAAGGTTTAATTTTAGAAAATGCTACTTATACGTTTGATTTGTGGCAAAACATAGAAAAAATATATGTAACCCAGCGTAACTTAGGAGAAATGTTTGAATTGTCACTTTGTTCTGGGCATAATAGTTTGCAATCTTTACGTTTTGTTAATCTACAAAACAAAAGGACGTCTATTAATATTTTACTCGATAGTATAGCAAAATATTCAAAAGATGTTACATTGTTGAAAAGTATAATACACAAAATAAGAAACGTTGCAAGGTAAAGAATGTTCTGTATATAAAAGTGTTTATATTTATACTGTACAAATAAATAATATAAAATATATTTTATATAGTCTGTATATTTAGTTAAAATTATTCACTAGATATACATTGTTTTATTATATCATGTGTAAGAATATGTTGTATGTACATAAAAATTTCATTCACTAAGTATCTATTATTTGTTCTTTTTTTGTAGACAATCTATCACAGACAATCTATTTGCACTGGTCACTTTTATTATTAACAACACTTATTCAAAAGAAAATCTTGAAAAGGTATGATATATAAACTTAATTGTTTCTTGTTACTGTAAATGTAAAACATAAATCATATACATATGTATAAGCATGCGTGTGTATTAAAAGTATACTAGTACTTTATATATCTTTAATTTTGTTTAGCATATTCAAAAAATATATGTACTGTATAAGAATTTTATATCGTAATATCAGGTATCAAATTCAATGTTACTAACTTAAGTTTTTTCAGATTATAGTTTTGTATTTTGAAGAACTGAGTAACATGCCTATAATTATGGAGAAGGTAAAAAATTTTTTTTAAATATAAAAATATAAAGTTTTAAATAATTTTTCTTTGTGCATTGCTTTCTACTTGTTTAAATCAAAATTTATGTTTATCTTATATATAAACTAGTTTTTTTGGCCTTATTTTTGTTTGTTTTACAAAAGTGTATTTTTTAACGTTCTCAGACTTATGCAAAAGTATGATACAAGATGTTATTGTAACTGTATTTTGTTTTTTGTAGACAATACTTGTCAAAATTAGAAAGAAAGTTAAAAGTCGTCGTACGATGTTAAATAGAATGAAAATGTTTTAAAGAAACTGATAAACATTTACCACTACCCGCACAAATTATTTAGTTCTATGACTACATAAAATTTTTTAATATAATAGTCTACTGTTTTAATTAATTAAATTGTATTCATGTGTTACGTTGAATACTAGAGTTATTTTTATATAAGAAACCTCAATTTATTTTATGACACTAATAGGTATTTATAAATTATGTTAAAAATCAGATCTATAAGATACAGATTTTAATAATTTGCAAAGTGGTCATAAACTAAATTCGAGTCTCTTTAATAAGATGAATAATAATATACTGATATTTATCTTACACCATTGTTACTATGTATAACTTTAAATATAACCACCTGCGCAGACATGAATACTTAGCATACGCTTGATGAAAAACACGATATTAAGGTATAAAATTGTAAAATGTAAAGGAAAGAAGACAATACTCTGTATCAAACAGTGTTATATATGTATATCGAGCTATCCCGAGAAAAAATGGAAAATCATGTGATCATATAAGATTATATGGAAATCGGATCCACTTTTGTATGATCGTGTAAACTTTTATATAAGTCGAATATGATTTTATATAAGTTGGATATGATTTTATGTGATAATGTAAAATGAGATCTGAAGTTTGGCGCGACCTGATTTTATATAATCATATATACATATAAAAAATCATATACTATCGTACATAATTTTATATATTTATATAACAGCGTGCTCGTGCAGTTAGTGTGCAACGTCGTTGCGCGTGAACTTGCCGCGAGGCACTACCGTGCCTCTTGATGATTATATAAAATCAGATTGCGCCAAATTTCGGATCTGATTTTACACAATCACAAAAATCATATTTAACTTATATAAAATCATATTTGATGTATATAAATATTTACGATCATACAAAATTACATTTGATCCACATATAATCCTCTATGATCACATGATTTTCCAAATTTTTTCGGGATGTTACTTATTCAAACAATTAGTATTTCTTTTTATGTATTTAAAGAACTGTAAATGATAATTTAATTTTGATTTAATTTAATAATTTATTCTATTCTTTTTCTTAATTGATATGTGTGTTTCCAAAGAAATATTATTTACATACTTACTTATAATAAAATTTGTATTTGCAAACTAAAGTTTGTTTGTTAGTTTTCAAAAATTTCGCACTTTTTAGGAATACGCAATATTTTCAAGTAAAGCTATGTAGAAAGATTTGTATGCAATATATTTTTTTTTCGACTAACCAAACTATTTGCAATAACTTTGTAAATAATTAAAATTTGCAATAAAACAAAAAATAATACGCAATGTATGCTTTTGCATACATTGCGCAGTATCGCAAATAAAGATTTGCGATAAAACAGTAAATAATACGCAAAGTATGCTTTTGCATCTAAGGCCATTGCACGTGACACAATTTTAGTCGTAATCGTAAAATTTGAAGAAGAATTGCTTACAATCTTACTCGTGAAAAATTGGATTAGATTTTAATTATTTAGATTAAATTCAAATTAAATCTAAATAAATATAAATTATTTCTAAAATAGATACTAAGTACATCTAAATAGATAGAAATTAGATTTATATAAATATAACTAAGTGTATGTAAATTTACACTTTTATTTATTAGTAGATCTACTTTAAATTTACTTAGATCTACTATAGATACACTTACAAGTAGATTACCTCAGATCTGTATAGATCTGCTTAGATCTAAATAAATCGACACAGAATATGTATCGTAAAACTACAGACATCGTAGATTATTGATAAACATGCATCCACATGCTGAGGTATATATCATGAGCTTTCTAAATTGTTATATAGAAAAATATACGCATACCGATCACATACATTTATGATTGCCATTTATATATTAAAATAAGCAAAAAGTTTTTACTTTTTGTATAATAACTTTTTGTTATACTTGCGGCTTAATTTGCACTTAAATTTTTTGTTTAAAATACACCATATATTTATAGATACAATCTATAGAAAAAATGGAAACTCATGTGATCATATAGAATTATATGTGGATCAGATGCAATTTTGTATGAGTGTATACACTTTCATATAATTCGAATATGATTTTATATAAGTTGGATATGATTTTGTGTGATCGTGAAAAATCAGATTCAAAATTTGGCTCGATCAGATTTTATATGATCGTATATAAATATAGAAAATCGTGTATGATCATATAAAATTAGATCCAAAATTTTGCGCTATCTGATACATATAATCGTATATGATCATAATTTCTATGTTTTCTCAGAAAGTCATAATTTTATTCTAATTTACTTAACTTTTAGTCTTGATTTTACACATCCAAGTAATTTCAGCAATATAAAAGTGAGATCTATCTGGTGAAGAATATTCTTACGAGCACGTACATTTTACTCTTTTGTTCCATTGACACTTGTCGAATC